CACAGATGTACTTCGGCCAAAGGTGATCCTTACTCATATGTGTCACTACTCTCGTCAAAAGGTACACCGTCATTTATAGAGAGCAGTCATTTCATGTCTTTTCAGACCAGATAGGGGAGAAACAAAAATCCTTCATAGATAAAAAGTTTAACGAAACATTTTATGAATCATACATGTTGATACCAATATACAGTTCTCATGTTTAAAAATCACTTCATGCTTTATTACTTTACCATCGTACAATGCATCATGCATCAACATTTATCCCAAAAATTTAATCATCTAAATTAAACATGCAAATAATTGATTTATATATGTTTATAAAACATGCATTAACACTTAAATCATTTTATTTAAGCATATAGAATTAAACATGCAACCATTTAATTTAAACTTTGATAATTTAACCTAGAAATACTCCTTAGAATGTTTAAAAGTAAATACTAAATTCCTTATTGAAACTTGGGTGTTTTTTACCCTTTTTTTTCTTTTTTTTCCTCTCCTTCTCTTCAAGATCACTCTCTCTATCTAAAATCCTTTGGTGGATAGAAGAATGAAGTGGAAGTGATGAGGAAATAGTGAAGTGGGGGTCTCTATTTATAACCATTATATTTGCACTAAATGGCAAAATTTGGTGAAGAAAGAAAGTCAAGATGAAATGATGAGATATGATGACCAATGGATGGATGATGCGACGTGATGGCAGCATGAAAACTAGAGGCACGCCACCCAAATGGTGGTGGCATGCTGCCCAAGTCAGCGGTGCGCGGCGCCCATGAGGGCGATGCGCACTATCTGAGACAGTACTTGTTGCCCCAGCTAGCCGCGCTCGGTGGGATCACTGGGCGCGCAGAGTCGCGTGTAGACCGTGCCTCACGCCCCCTGTAGATAGGACATGCACACAGGTGCATGTCCTGTGCTAGCCGCGCACGCGTGCTTATGCGAAGCCTGCGTGGGTAGGATCTTTCCTGCGAGATTTTTCACCGTTTTTTCTCTATTTTTGCCTAACATCTTTTTAATTAATTTTAAATACAAATTATCTACAAATAAATTAAATAAAATAATTTTAATAATTATTTAACTAAATAAATACGAAATTAAAATATAAAATTTATCCAGAAATTCAAAATATAAAATTTAAAGAGTTTAAACAGCCTTAGGGCGTGAATAAATAGGGGTTCATATTATAAATTAAGCACAAAGGTTTTTAAGGTGTTACATTCTCTCACCTTAGAAAATTTAGTTCCCCCAAATTTGTCATGAATAGGTTGGGGAAACTTCTCTCGCATTTTACTTTCCAATTCCCATGTCGCCTTCTCCAGAGTATAGTGTTGCCACTGCATCTTCACCAGAGGGATCCTCTTGTTGTGTAAAACTTTGTCGGTTCAATCAAGGATTTCTCTAGGGAGCTCCTCATAAGTCATATATGGTTGAACTTGCATTTCTTGGTGAGGAATGATATGGGAAGGGTAGGGTGATACCTTTTGAGCATGGAGACATAGAAAACATAATGCAGACCCGCAAATTATGGAGTTAGAGCAAGGCAGTACACCACAAGTCCGATATATTTCACGATAAAAAAGGTCCGATGTAATAGGGGCTCAAGTTACCCTTCTTACCGAATCACATTTTTTCCTTGTAAAAAAAGATCTTAAGGAAAACTTGATCACCAATAGCAAATTATAGGGGTCATATATAGTTGTCATGTAGATTTTCTGGTGACTTTGAGTGGTGACTAAGTTCTTTCGAATGATGACGACTTTCTCGATAGTCTTTTGGATGTAATTAGATCCGAAACGATGTTTGTTCCTGATTTCATTCTAACAAGTGGAAGAACGACCGGGCCTACCATA